GACAACCTGGAGAAAAATTATGTATACTAGAAACATGTCCTTTGGTCAGATGAGACAAAAGTAGAGCTCTTTGGCCATAGAGATGTTGCCTATGTTTGGAGTAAGAAGGGACAGGTGCTCAACCCAAAGAACACCGTCTCCAGAGTGAAACATGGCAGTGGGAGTATAATGCTGTGGGGATGTTTCAGTGCGTTTGGAACTGGGAATCTCGTCAGGGTCAAAGGAATCATGAAAACGGAAGACTACGAGAAGATTTTGAAAAACAACCTCAGGCAATCTTCAACAAAAGATGGTTTGGGTCGACGTTTTGTCTTCCAGCATGATAGCGACTTAAAGCATACCTCATTTCTGGTGTAGAACTACTTCCAAATTAGCAAAGTGAACGTCCTTGACTGGCCTGCACAAAGCCCAGACTTGAATCCAATAGAAAATCTGTGGGGCAGACTGAAGTCCAGAGTTCATGCCAGGAGACCAACAAATCTGGAGGAGCTTGAGAGATTTGCTAAGGAGGAATGGGCTGCAACTCCTCAGGAGACATGCCTGATACTTGCTGAGAACTACAACAAACAACTAAAGGCTGTTATCAAGCAAAAGGGATACATCATTGAATATTAACATCAGAGGGCTAATAATTTTGGCGTGTAGACTTTTTTAATTATTGGTAATAATTTTGTTTCTATTTGTATTAAAAACATTCCAAACTTCCTAAATAAACTATTATGTTTAGAAATGCTGTGTTGAAAAAAAAAACTTCTCTCTGTTAAACAGCGTTTGGGAATTATTTAAAAAATAATGAAATATTTTATAGGGGGCTAATAATTTTGTCTTTGAAATATTATTGCAATTTAAAATAAGAGTTTTCTATTTTAATATATTTTTAAATATATATATTTTTATAATATATTTAAATATATTTTATTCCTGTGAAGCAAAGCTGAATTTTCAGCATCATTACTCCAGTCTTGTCACATGCTCCTTCAGAAATCATTCTAATATGCTGATTTAAGAAATTAATACTTTTATTCAGCAAGGATGTGTTAAATGAATAAAAAGTAATATTAAAGACATATTGTTAGAAAAGATTTCTATTTTGAATAAATGCTGTTCTTTTTACATTTTTATTCATCAAATAATCAAAGAAAAAAAGTGTCACAGGTTCCAAAAAATATTAAGAAGCACAACAGTTTCAACACTGATAATAAATCAGCATATTAGAATGATTTCTGAAGGATCATGTGACACTGAAGACTGGAGTAAGGGCTGATGAAAATTCAGTGCTGCATCACAGAAATAAATAATATTTTAAAGTATATTAAAATAGGAAACCTATATTAGAAATGGCAATAATATTTCAGGGTTTTTTTTTTGTATTTTTGATCAAATAAATGCAGCCTTGATGAGCATAAGAAACTCCTGTAAAAAACTGATCCCAAACTGTATATGTATACATACATACATACATACACACACATTATATACATACACACACAGTGCCGTTCAATAGTTTGGGATTAGAAAATTTTTTAAGTTTTTTTTTTTTTCTTTTAAAGATTCTTATGCAAGGCTGGATTAATTTGATCAAAAATACAAAAAAAAAAACTAATTTTGTGAAATATTATTGCAATTTAAAATAAGAGTTTTCTATTTTAATATATTTTTAAATATATATATTTTTATAATATATTTAAATATATTTTATTCCTGTGAAGCAAAGCTGAATTTTCAGCAAGGATGTGTTGAATGGATAAAAAAGTGATAGTAAAGACTTATATTGTTAGAAAAGATTTCTATTTTGAATAAATGCTGTTCTTTTTACATTTTTATTCATCAAATAATCAAAGAAAAAAAGTGTCACAGGTTCCAAAAAATATTAAGAAGCACAACAGTTTCAACACTGATAATAAATCAGCATATTAGAATGATTTCTGAAGGATCATGTGACACTGAAGACTGGAGTAAGGGCTGATGAAAATTCAGTGCTGCATCACAGAAATAAATAATATTTTAAAGTATATTAAAATAGGAAACCTATATTAGAAATGGCAATAATATTTCAGGGTTTTTTTTTTGTATTTTTGATCAAATAAATGCAGCCTTGATGAGCATAAGAGACTCCATTAAAACATTTTTATATTGTTATATAACAAGTTATATAATGAATATGGGCTCGTTCCTTCCTACAGCGCATTCATTTTTCGAAAGTGGCCATTGATGATGAGTGTCGTACTCCTGACATATAAAAGGATATTTGTGGCCGTTCTGTAGCTGGAGTTGATGCGCTTGTTCACATTTCGCTTGAATTTAAGATGAACTGCGATTTATAAAGATGGATGTATTTAGGAACATTTTTGTTAAGTTTCATAAATTGATCATGAAGGAACATTGAGGAACAGTTCAGAAAATGTTGTATGTTCACATTCAGGCTCATTGTACACGTGCCCCAGGCTTTTCTTTGTTCTGCATCTCCAACTTTATCAAATGAGATGCTTGTAATATTCTTAAAATTACATTTGCTGAAATCATTTGTGTGAATCAAGAGAAGGCGGCTACCAGCTTGGATTTAGTCTCCATTGTCCTATTCTGGCTCTGGGGCAAAAGTAACACGTGGAGTGCGCTTTATCATTTAGCAGTTCTCTAAAAAACATTAATTTCTCTCTTTCATACCTAGGAAAGTTAAAAATGGGTGGGTGGGTGGATGAATTAGTTTAACAGGCAAAAACGAATGTGCTTTTCTGTGTGACTTGACATACCTTGCTTTAGATGAAATTAACTAAACCCTTTTAGGCTTTAAATTTTACCCATGGCTACTCCTGTCAGGCTCCTGTCGCATTTGCCAAGCCAACATTACTTGATATACATAACCTGAAGCAGCTTTATGAGAATGCATATACTGAAAGGAAAGCAGATCAAACAGAATTGACCTTTGAGTAGCCACGTTTATTTTTTTCTTTGTTGACGAAGGTTCTCTCCAGGGTCGACCATACAAAGCTATAGTACTGAGCAGGTACAGTCCGTGAAATGGTTCAGTGTGTAATAGTCTTGTATTTTAGGCCACCTATCTGAATTCATCATAACAGCTACTCTACTACACCAGGAAGATAAATATACACCAGGCCATAATGGGGCTCAAACGCATAGATCACATATAACCAGATTCCCAACTGAGCTAGTATCAAATGACCACCAAAATGAAATGAGTTTAAGTCTTTAGAAATTAGCTAATTGAAATTTCAAGCAAATTAAAACCAGCGGTGAGTATAAGAGAAGCCTGACTTATACGGGTTTAACTTGCTTTACTGTAACCGAAGGCTGCTGGAGCAGCGATAAGCTGTGGATGGATTTCGCTCCTCTTTGGAAAATACAAGCCTGTACCTTTTTATAATCCCTTCAAGTTACACGAATCCCCGACGGCTTCTAAAAAGCCCACTGATGTCGTCATTTACAAGATCAGCTTTTCAAAGGCCCCCATGAAATAAAGATTTAGGAGATGACATGCGAGGTGGGGAAACACAAAAGCGAAGGGGAACATACTTGAAGTAAGCACTTATGGCATTTCAGTGACTCTTGCTGGTGCTTCTGTGCCAATTCCAAACCTCCAGTTTTTCCATTTCCACCACAGAAAGTCCAGTTTTGTGCTCAAGCAAGTGGAATCAGGAATAAAATACATGTTGAACTTTCTCTCATGAGCTTAAGAATTTCTTGCTGGTCCTCTAGAATAACTGGAAGCTTACAAAAATAGACTGTGGCACCACGCTTTGAAGTCCCTTCTCGAACTGGACTTCTCAGGGATAACATAAGTAGATCAATAAAGCAAGAGGAAGCAAAATAAAGGGAATGACTGCAACCCACTTTCTCTTCTTTGTGCTTATCAAGGACTAAAGCCAGACAAACAAGTCCCTTCCAAAAAGAAAAGTGTCAGCCATTAAACATTTACGCTTTTCTTCCCCCATAATGCTCCTTTAAGACGAGCTGCCTGCCAATTTATTTCTTACATCTCTTTGATAAATGTCAGCCCTTTAATGTCAGCAGCCACATCTTTTATTTCTTTTAACCAGAACCATTCGGATGCCCAGACGTTTCCTGCCCATTGTGATGTCTAACTTCTAGAGAAAATTCAATAAGGTCTGTACAGAGCTTGTAGATCCTATTATATGAAGGTACTCGTTGGATATTCAAATAAAATGAGTTTCTAAGGGGTGCAATTGTGCACAAATGTTTAAATGATGGAGACTTGCATGAAGGACATGATGAATAATGAAGCAGTTATTCTCTTTTCACTTGCCACTGCACAGAAAGCTGTGGGGATCTGGTTTTTGATGTAATATCCATGTCATACATATGATTGGGGCCAGGGCTACTGAGACATCCAATAAACAACACTCTTTCACACACACACACACACACACACACACACACACACACACACAAAGTGCTGTTATTCAAAATTGATATTTGTGTATTGTCATGAAAGATAAGTTGGTTGTGTGTTTGAGGCATATTTAGGCATATTCAGCAATTTAAAGTAAAGTGTCATTTAGACTTTCTGTCTTCACTGAAGAATAGCGATTTCTTCTGTCTGGATCAGTTATCTGAAAAATAGACTAGAGGAATAATTCAAATCTTAGCTCATTCAAGTCATATTTGTATTATTGTGGGTTTATCGACTGGTTTCAATGCTGTACTTATTGCATTCACATTATCCATGTGATTCGTTCAAGTAAAACAAAAACAAAGTCTGTTTTTATGTTCATTTTAATAAACTAATTTAACCTCTAAAAAACAAATATTAAATATACAACAAAAACAGTTTAGTTTTTTTATGTCGTGATTAAATTAAAATGTACAGAGTTCAAATTATTTGACATTTTTCTAGCTCTTTATATAATTTGCCTGTGGAAAGATGAAATCTGTAAAAAAGGGTAACGTGTGCAGATGTTCCACAGGGTCCATCTGATCAGTATCACTCTGTATTAACAAAAGAGAAGCAGACTTACCATTGTGAGGAGATTGTCAATCTCAGTGGTGTCGTATGGACTCAGAGCATTCCACACAAAAGGACGATATGCTTTCCTGCACAAATATATTTAGAGATTGTGTATGGTGCCAAATGAAGGTGCCAGGAGTGTACACAGCACTGCAAGATAAAGATCTAAAGAAATACCGCTGACTATATTTGGCAGGAACCTCAAGCAGAACATATATTGGTCTCTGTGTGTGTTCTTATCTGTTTTTACACATCATATAAGCCATCATGTGAAATGCACTACCACTACTGTGAATAATTTTTATTAAGTAAAAGCTCTTGAAGCCTAGCATGGACCTTGTGCATTGTGTGCCATTGTATATTCTTCAAATTCAAGCAAGTGCTTAAATAAAACAGCCTTTGTGGTCTCACATTTAAGTATATGCACGAGTTATAGAAGGTGTTTAAAGTGTAAGGTCTCTAAGGCTTTTTACACTGCATTGACCTTAGGTTATTGTCTTCACCTAAGGCCACTTGATTATGGATAGAGCAATGGCTTGCATGTTTTTAAAGAGTAACCCTGAGTTATGAAACTCTGTTCCAGAGCAAGGTTAGAACATTAACACAAAATTGCAGTGGCAAAGTAATTTGAACAGAAGAAGGACAGTTATACAGTTTTATATGTGAGTAAATGAGGGCAGAATTTTAATTTTTGGGCGAACTAACCCTTTCAGTTATATGTACAGTATGTGTAACGCAATTGGTTTCATCATCTTTGTCTGTAAAACCCAACCACATGATTGAAACCACAAGATTGAAAACCAATCTTTTTTTCCTGTCCATTAATTTCAAATGACATTTTTACAGTAATACAGGTTGTCGAAATCATAGTCCAAGAATATGCCTCTGGTACTCTAACTGGTACTCTAATTCTAAACTAGGTCTGGAGAATAGATTTAACGGTCACTTACCTCTCAGGGCACTGATGCAGGTGGGCTTTAGAGATCTTCTGAATCTCAGCTTTGATCTGGTGCAACTTCTCTTTTATCAACTGAGTGTGAGTCTTGGATCTGTGTCTCACTGATGTTGTACTGCTGGGTTTTGAAATGTGTCGTTTCTCTCTTTGGTTCTCACTGGGACTCACATCTGAGGAAACATGGCCTGTTTGGCATAAATAACAGAGAGTCACATATGGTTTGATTCTAATTACATAATAAATGAAGATGTATAAATGTGCATGATTGTTCATTTGGTGAACACAGGGATGAGTATGGACCAGGCCATTGGGTCAGTGCGCCAGGGCCTCAGACTGTCAAGGGCCTCAAAAGACTCAGCCAAAAAAGTGCCTAACACAGTGCATGCCTAACCTAGAATCTCTTGACATACAGCGCAAACTAGGGTTACTAGTCTAGTGATCCTATAGTTTAGTTAAGCCTTACACAGGATCATGGGATCCAGCCCTGGTTAGACAACAAATGTGCATTGATTATTGTATAACATCAACCATTAGCATCGCTCATGTATCAGACATTTTTGTATTTATACGGTACTTTTTTTTTCTCTATGTAAAGCACTAAACAGAAAAGAGACACCAATAAGTGAAACAAACAAATTTTTTTTAAAATAACTTTTATTGCTTATATTGCCCACACATAACTTGGGGCAGGAGTAGCAAACATTATGTGGGGACATGTTCACCTCACTTAATTCGATCCCTCCACATTTTGAGGAATAATAATTACATTTAAGAAGATTATGATGCTTAATCACAGATAGTGCAAGGAAAATAATAGGCAGAGGCTGTTTGCACTAAGTTGAACTTTTTCTTTAAACTAATAGTTAGATGTTCTTTGCACTTAAATAGTGCTAGATGCTATGTATAATTAGTGCAAAATAGTGACAGATACTATTTGCAGCTAAGTGTATTGTACAACATTGTATATGCAAATATATTAAATCTTATATTTATTAAAATCACAAATGGATGCTACCTTATTTGGATCTTACTTGTCCCTAAAGTCTATCCCTTCACATACTCCTAACCCTATATTAAACCCTCTTTGAGCCACAGTTTTGAGTGTGGTAACAAAATGAACTGCACACTTTACAGTATGTGTGCCAGCTTGTGAGATTAAAACAATTTCAATAATAGGTATACTACATCTTTGGTAGGCTCTTGATTTTCTCCATTTCTTAAAAGAAATGACTATCTGAGCTGATATGCAGTGGAAAAGAGAGAAGAACGAGGTTAGGAAAAAGGCTGATTGGAACTCACGTCAGTCGCAATAAAAGATAAATCCATTATCTTTATTCTCCATACCACTGTTCCTGTTACCAGAGGGGTTTCTTTTGAAGTGGCATTAGTCACAATCAGATATTGGTGGGCAGAGTTAGTTTAAATAACCCTTGCCAACAAAATGGGCTATTTGCATTTAGTGTAAATAGCCACTCTGAAATAATAATATCCGTTTGCATAAAACAAAGCCTTTAAGATCAAGCAGAAGCTTCTCCCAGGCAGAAGACAATAATCCCACTGGCTAGTGTTTGCGTTTCACTGACCACATTTCAACAAATTCCATTGGCGAAACAGACAACGTGTATAGTATTCATGGGCCCAACAGCCTGTTAAGCCAATAACTCAACATATATTGAGCTGTTGACAATGACATAGAGTGGCATGCATAAAAAGCCGTCGTTGAATATTATACGTTTTTGTTTTCAGATCATTACTAGAGTTCAGTAACCACTCATCTTACCTAAAGTGGCTGTACCTCCAGTTTCACATTTTGCTGGCAAGGTTGTTCCATCCTTGTTGGCTGGAGTATCTAATTAAGGCAAGAGAAAAGGCAGGCGAGAAGAGTTATCAGTCCCATTTACAGTGATAAAAGATGTGGCATTAGTATTTTTGATTTGTTTCTAAACAGAATATACTCTATACTGTAACCGATGACCCTCTGAAAGCAGGACCAAATCGCAAAGGCTGCACAGAGAGTGTGTTTAGCTAAATATAATGGTGAAATGAAAGCACACAAATGCACGAAGCCACTTTCTAAACTGTGTATGAGTTTGGCCACTTGCCTTTTAAATCTTCCCTCAATGTTGCTCTGCTGTTGCTTTCACTGGACGCTGACAAAGAGGAAGACATGCTTTCAAAGGAGGCATTTAATTAAAGTCTGTATGCCAAAGAAATACGTTTTCTTTCACCACAGACAGGGGTATTCAGTCTTACTGATGTTGAAGGCTGTGGCAGCCAACAGTAGTCAAGGTGCAGTCAAACAGCGTTTGCTGCTGGTGAAGCTAAACTGCTCTGAGTCTGCATATCTGAGGCATACCCTCACAAAAGGGAAGCAAACCATGGTTTCCATTGTTGTTGTGCATGGTTGTGCATTCTCACAATTGTAAACAAATGAATATGGTATAATTAATTTAGTAAATGGCATCTCAAACAAATCAGAATCAGTGACAGGGATGTGTCTAACCTCAAATCACCAGTGTTAGCAAGTGCTGTGGATAAATAATAAGGATTTTTTTTTAAGTTCAACTTCATTTTAACCATCTTTTAACATGTTAACTGCAGTTCTTTTTAACAGTTCCCTTTTTTCAGTTCTCTTAAATAGTCCAGTAGTGTGGCAGATGTTTTTTTTTTTTTTTTTTTTTTTTTTTTAAAGTACATTTGGTTACTTTTTGATTACTTTTCCAAATGAAAGTTTTCAATTGTTATTCATTTTCAAACATTTAAAGCAGAGTTAACCTTACAGTACTACTGTTAGACTTTCAAAATCCTTCATTACTTGAATTGATTATAATAATTTAATTTCAAAGCACACCACAAACTGTTTTGCATAGCTATGGCAGGAAACACTGACATCTACAATACCTTGGAAAAAAACAGTTCATCTTAAAAAAATATAGCATATAGGCATACATAAACCCAAATAGGTAATAAAGCAGTTATCAAATAAGCATGTGTCCTATTCTGTGTCATAAACCACTGACACATTGGTGTTTCATATTTTGGAGTAGTCAATGCAATTTGGGAAATAAATCTGTGTGTGTGTGTGTTTTTATAAGTAACTGTGATTTAATCACATTTTTTTCTCAGTAACTGTAACAGATTACAGTTACATTTATTTTGTAATTAAATTATATAACTCTCTCCCCAACACTGCATGTAATATAACCAAGCTTGGGTCTGAAGAAAATCACATGACTACATCCAACAAACATGATTAGATATGGCTATGTTTATGCAGTAATTATGTGGAAATTTATACATTTTATACATTATACATTTAGTGTATACAAGATTTAGAAAAAAATGAATTTTAAATGTGTGCTTTTTTTTTTT